ATTCATAATAATGCTAACTTAGCTTTTATAGATTGGAAATACATATCATCTATTTATTCTCTTTTAGCCAAATCAACAAGATTTATATTTAAATTATCATTTTTATTTTTCATAATTTTCTGCATTAACTCTTAATGTTTAGCTTCATTATCTAACTTACTACTAATATATAAAAGTCTTTTTTATTTTTCAACCGAATCTTAAAAATCGTCTTTACTTAATAACTTTTCCAAATCTTTTTTATCTAAAACTTTTTATTATAAGTTTAATTAATCACTAACTTCTTTTAAATAATCCTTTTTTTGCATTTATTAAAGTTTTTTTGCATTTTTTATCAACGAACTAATATTTCAAATTTTTATTTAAAAATAAAAACTAATAATTTTTTACGCATTTGTTAAATTCTCGATTTGAGGTAAAGATGATTCAGAAAGTACTCTTTTATTTAATTTTTTAGCTTTTTTTTTATTTTCTTTTAAATAAACTTTCCCTTTTTCTTTTTATTTATCTTTATAACGATGAAGATTAATTTCTTTATTAAATACTTTTTTTTCATATTATTATTCTTCTTCCATAGTTCTATTATGTTTAAACAAATTATTTTTATCATTTTCTTATTTTTCATATTTAATTGGCTTAATATATTTTGAAGGATTATTCATTTTATCGATTCTAATTAATAATTCCGTTTTTTTATTATCGTCAACGATTATTTCTTTCTTTTATTTTACATCCATAGCAAACTTATTTCTTAATTCAACTATTCTTAATGCTTTATTCTTTTATTCTTAAATAAAAAATAAAAAATTATTTTAAAATAAAAAATAATAAATATATTCTTCAATAAAGATAATAAACAAAATACCTACAATAGAATTATATTAATCGTCCTAAATTTTTTACCTTTAGTAACAAGAAACAGGAAACTAGGAGATTTTTTATAAATAATCTTTTGAAATTTATTTAGTTCTTTATTGTACTTATAATCTTAACTCTTATTTATTTTTCAAGCTTTCTAAATACTTTTTTTGATGTTAAAATAAATTCATTTCTTCAATTAATTTATATCTATCTTTTAAAGATAGTAATTATTCTTTCATTTCTTTTTCTCTTAATTTCTAAATTGAAGTTGAAAATTGTTTATTTAATCTTATATATAAAGGTTGTTTTCCTTAATACATTTTTTCTTTTTATTTCTTGTATTTTTATTCATGTTCTTCTAAATCTTTTAACCTTTTAATTTTATCTCCATCATTTTCTCTATTAAAATATTAATAAATAATATATATATATAAATATATATATATATATATATATAAATATATATATATATATATATATATTTAAATATTTATATATAAATATTTATTTTTATTTACTTTAGTCTTTTTAATAATTCTTCTTCTTTTTATTTTTCCTTATAATAATTTTAAATTTGTCTTCTATTTGTCTTTTGTATTTTTCTTCTTCTTTTTTTTTTTTTTGATATTTCTTATTCTATATAATTATTTCTTTCCTCAATTTGCTTTTTCTCTTCTTTAATTTACTTCACAAACAAACTAGCTTCTCTTCTTTTACTTTTTCTTGCTAATCTAAATATTCTTTTAAACCAGGAAAACTATAAAGACTTCTAGGATTATCAATTTTTTAAGATTAAAGATTAATTATTAATTTATCAACTTTTTTCTGTTTCTTTTCACAATCTTCTTTTTATTTTTATAATCTTAAATTCTTTTCTCTATTACTGCTTCTTCGACTATATTTGGTTGCTTTTTTACTACCTTTTTTAATTAATATTATATCAAACTTTTACTAATTTTTTTATTTGTAAAAAATATTATTACATTTGAATTATTTATTTCAAGTATTTAATTCTCTAATTGTTTAATATAATTTTTATAATTAGTAATTTAAATCTATATCCCATCTTTTTCTCTATTGTTTGTTTAAAATATAATTAATATATATATTTAAAATATAAACTTAAAAAGTTCAAGTAATTATGTATCTATAATAGAACTTTCTATTACATTCCCTTTTCTATATATAATACCCTTTTTTTTTAATATAAAGTATAAATAGTAATTTTATTTATTTATATACTTAAATATATTAATATCCATATTATATTTTTTTAATATTTTTCTCATTAATTTTCTGTATAATTTCTTTTGAATCTTATAAATCATCTAAATTTTGGGTTTATAAATTTTTAAATAATTAATCAAAGTATTCGTTTTGTAAATGAATTAATTTTTTTTTTTTTTATTTTGATATCTATAAAAAATAATATAATATAAAATCTAAAATCATTTTATAAAATTATAATTTTTATTATACATTTTATTAGTAATTAATATAGAGTTAATTATTATTATAATTAGAATTTTACTTTTAATTTATATTTTATTTTAAATGAACATTATAATAATATTAATTTATATAAATTAAAAAAAAATACATCATTATTTTATTATATTTATGAAGAATGTTCTTATTGTTGCTATTTCAATTGTTATTTCTATTAATATTTTTAATTTAAATATTTATAATCATTTAAATTTCCTTGATTAAATATCATTTTTTTTTACTTATTATAGTTCTTTTTTATCTTCAATCTGTATATTATTGATATTTTTATTCATTGTATATTATTATTTTTATTTTTATTAACTATATTTATATATTATTATATAATAACTAAATATATTATTTAAGTGAATAAATAAAAAAAGAAATATTAATAATTGCAGTATTTTATAATTTATATATATATATTTTATAAATATTAGTTATATTTTTTATCTAAATAATTTTTTTTTCTTATAAATAAATATATAAAAATATTTTAAAAAAGAAAATTATTATATATAACTAAATAAATAATGAAATTATTATTTTGTTTATATATATAAATATTATTTTTACTAAAATATTATCATTTGTAATAGATAAATATTTTAATTAATAAAACATATATTTTAAAAAAGGGAAATATAAAAAATATCAATATAATATTTATCGTCATTATTTATAATTAATTAGAAATAAACCTAACTCTTTTATAGGATTAAGTGGTCTATTATAAAAAAATAATTGTTTATTTATTTTTTAAATATAAAATAAACCTTTATTTCGCTAATTTTTACATTCCTTCTAATAGAGCTTTGTGTACTTTATCTTCTATATAATTTATTGATTAATAATTTGGTGCAATATTAACTTACATATTATTAAGTTTTTATTAAATTTCCTTAGTTTTTTTAGCTATTTCATCTTTACTAATTTTTTCATCTAAATTTATATTATTTCTATTAAAATTATTTTAGCTTTAATTATTATTCATATTTTAATTTTGAATTTTTTGTTCAAAATTATTTTTTATTTCTTTTTTTTAAATATTATTCTCTTATTCTTAATTATTAATATAAAAAAACTTCATTAATATTTCTCCAATTTACTATTTCTTTTTATCAATTAAATTTAAATTAACAGATGCTTCCTATTAATCCTCTTATAAAACATTTCCTAATTACACTTAAACTTCCCCTAAAAAATCGTCAGCACTATTCTAATCACATTCCCATAATTCACATAATAGATTAGGATTATTATCTTTAATTTATAATGTAAATTAAGATTCTTAATTATCCCATTTAGGTGTTTATCCTTAATTCCAAGCTACTGGTGTTCTAAAAACACTATCATATATACTCAGTCTAACATAGCAATCCATTTTTCCAATACTTTCGTGATCTTTATATGTATTAGCTGAAATTACTCTGACACCAATAACTTTACTTTATTCCATTTTTTTATTTAAGTTATTTTTTTAATTAAATATAAAGTTATTAAATTTTTTTATTAAAATAAAATATATTTAATAAATATATATATAGATATATTTATATATTTTATATATATATATATCAATTATTATTATTATTTTTAATAAAAATAGGCTTCATATAATTTTTTTCAAACTTAATAACTTTTTATTTAAAAAATCCAATGTTTTATACAGCTAATCCTTGAATTTGCTTATTTTCATATTCTCCTATAGCATGATAATCACTTAAACCTTCGACTTCTTTCAAAAAGCTCCTCTAAACGAATTCATTCTTCCAAACATTATCGCATTCTAATTCAATTTTAATCCATTTACCAAAAGCTTAACTTAAACTTCCCAAAACAAGTGTTGTGAACAAAATAATTACCTAAACAACATTCAAAACTGTACTTTTGTTTTCAATTTCTATCATTAAACCCAAACCAAAAGTTATAGCACCTCTCACATTACCTGAATACCATAAAACAAGCATTTATTTATGACTCAATTTATATTTTGAGGTAAAAAAAGGCAAACTAAATATCGTAAAACATCTCGCGAAAACAATAATTGCAAAAATACACATCGAAAATCCTAAATCTATTTTCTATATATTAATTTTCATCAAAGAAATACCTAAATATACAAAAACAAAAGCTTCGGCTAAATATTTTATCGTCTAAAACATTAAATTAGACCCTTTTTAGGCTTCTTCAGATATATTTAAATACGTATAATGTCCCATAATTAACCCTGATGAAAAAAGGGACAAAATACCAGATAAACCACAAAACTAAGAAATTAAATAGGACAAATATCCAACCAAAAAAATAATGCAAGTTTCCCTCAAAGGATGTTTATTTAATGAAAAAGAATATTTTTTGAAAAAAAAGGAAACCATTAATCCTATAATAATTCCGATAAAAATACTAAAAAAAAAAGTTTTAAAAAATCAAAAATTATAAAAAAAGCAATTTTTGTATCAAATAATTTATTATTTTCTTATTAAAAATTATTCTTTATACTCTTAAATATTACAATAGTGATAGCATTATTTATTATCCCTTCACCGAATATTATAGAATGTAAATGAGGAAATTAACTAGGCTTTATAAGACTTTAGGCTGTAACACTATCCGTAGCACACATTACAGATGAAAGTAATAAAATATCAAATATATTGATATTGTTTTTTTCCGAAAAAAAAAGCCAGATTATAAAAGGAAAATTATTAAAGAGGAAATTATAAAAAATTTTAGTAAAGTACCAATTATTCCGTAAAATAAAATAATAGAAAAATGCTAAAAAAACAAAGTCTTTCTGGCATTAAATCCACCAGCAAATATTATTGGAGGAAGAATAAAGTAAAAAAATATTTCAGGATTAAATTCTATTTATTTATCTGATATCTATATTTTTATTATTTATAATAATATTTTTATTAAAATTTATAAATATATATATATTTATTTACAATTTTTAACAAAATACCAACGATTAAACCTAAAATTATTGAAATTGCTGATTCATGTAAAAATGTTATCTATATTTATTTAGTTATATTTTATTTATTAATTTTATTTTTTAATTGCTTTTGTTATTTCTATTATATGTGATGTTAAAATGTGTATAAATAAAATTATTATAATAGTTAGTATTGCTAATGATATTTCTTGCATGTTTTCTTTTGTATTTAACTTTGAATAAATTAATTTTTTTTATTTATTATTTTACTTAATTTTTATTATATATATTTTTAAGTATAAAATTGTAAAAAAGATTAAATAATATAATTTATTTTCCTTTTTAATAAGATATATAATTTCTTTTATATATTATAAAAATATTTAAATTAAATTATTCACAAGTTTATTTTTTCCAAAAAATAATAATTATAACATATATTATTATTTAAAATAAAATATATTTTTTAAATAAAATTTCAATGCATTTTTTATATTAACATCATAATCTTATTATTAGGTTATATTTTTGAAACTATTTACTATTTTTATCATATTTATATAATATATTAATAGCTTATTTTTTTAAATATTCGTCATATTTATTATTCACATATACCAAACAGAAAATATTAGCTATATGAGTTAAAAAATAAGGAAATTTAATAAATTACATTTGAACTAAATTATGATTAAACAAATTATTATATATTTTATGTGTTTTAATGTACCTAAATCCAATACATCCAAAAAAAAAGATAATAAACCAAATTCAAACAAAATTTGTTTTTTTTAATTTTATTTAATTCTTTTAAATCGTCCTCTTAAATTTATTACTAATATTAATTACTATTAACATAATAATTTATTAATTTTGTAGTATAAACATTTAAATTTAATGGATCATTAACAAATATCTACATTTTTTATTTTATTAATATTTTTTATTTAAATTATTAAATTAATTTTATAATATATATTTTCAATATAAATATATAATTTTTAATTCTAAAATAAATTAATTTTTAATAAGAAATAAATTAAAATTAAAAAGTGTTTTTTTTATTCAAATTTCTTTATAATTGTTATTTTTTTTTTCTTAAAATAAATACTATTTCGTAATTAATTTTAATAAAAAAATAGATAATGCTAACCCTAAAATAAAAAATAGGAAAGCTTAACTAATTAAGATGCATAATTAGTTATATTTCCATTTATTAAATTTATCGAATATACTTTCATTATTTATTTCTTACTAGGTTTATTTTGTTATATTTTATATATTTGTTTTTTATTAATATTTATTTGCGTTTTTTTATTTATTTACGGTATTTATAATTTCATCTTATTTTTGCTGATTTTATTCTTATTTTTAAATATTTTTTGCTTTTATTGAAAGATTTTCTATTTTTTTTAAGTGTTAAAAACTTCAGATTATTAATGAAAATCAGCTTATCGTTATTCTTCCTATTTATTTTTTTATTATTCTTCTAATTGCTTTTTTTATTATTCTTCTTATTATTTTTTTTATTATTCATTATATTTATTTTATTATTTTTCTTACTGCTTCTTTTTTAATTCTTCTTATTTGTTATACTAATCTATTTATTTTTTTTATTATTATTCTATTTTATTTAAGAATTCTTCAGATTTTATTGGTAATTTAAATTATTATTTTTTCTATTTTTTTTCTTATATTTATTGTTCCCCCTATTATTATTATTATTATTATTATTATTATTTAATATTATTATTATTATTATTATTATTATAATTATTATTTTTTAATTTTATATTTTCTTATTTTTATTATTTCCCGCTATTTTTAATTTTTCGAATTATATTTTTAATGTTTTATCTATTTTTATGATTTTTAAATATGAATTTATTATTTTTAATTACTCATCTATTAAGTATTATCATCATTTTATATATTTTATTATTTAACTTAATTTTTCTAATTATATTTGCTCTCATTTTTTATTTAATTTTTTTCTTATTCATTTTTCCATAATTATTATAATTATTTCATTTATTTATTTTAATTTTAATTAATAATTTTTTATTTTCTCCATCTTATTAATTTTTTTTATCTTATTATTTAGAATTTTCAATATTATCTTTATCATCAAAATTTAAAGAAGAAATTTAATATTTATAATAATCATTTCTATGTATTTAAATCTAAGCATTTTACTAATAATCTTCTTTCTAAAAATTTTCAAATGGAAAATCTACTTAAGGATTTAATAATTCTTCCATATCTTAACTATTTTTTTAATTTTATATAAAAGGACTAATTTCGTTTTCGCTATGATCCATAAATGAAGTTAATTAATCAAATTAATCAGAAATAGATTAAAACATATTATCGAAAGTAGGTAATTAAAAAAATGGATCTTGAGCAAACATTTTATTTTAAAAAGGTAAAACTTCTTAAATATTTTAATTTAAAAGCCTTTAATTATCGTTTATAATGTATTCCATATCAAATGCATAATAAGGTTATAATTAATCTTTTTATTAATTATTTTTTGATTAGAAGAAAATAATAATAATATATTTATTTTAAAACCTATTATTGTTATTTATCTTAGCTTATCTCCATTTTAAACCTTTTCTTTTTTTACATTTATTGCACAAATAAAAACAACATATATTTAAATTAAAAGAAACAAATATATCATTTATATATATATTTTTAAGTGTTTATAAATTTTAAAAATATTTAAAAAAAAAAAAAAAAAATATTAAATATAATATTAATTTTTAAATTAAACTAAATAATATAAAATAAATAAAAATATAATGTGTTAAAAAAAATTATGCTTTAAAAGTTTATATAATTCATATCTTTTTATAAAAATATATAATTATTAATAATTTATTTTATATATCTTGATTTAAATTAATAAAATAATTTTTAATTAATTTTTATAATTGATTTTTTTTTTTTAATAATTAAAAATTATTTTTTCTACAAAATTTATCTACTTTAAAAAAGTTAAATAAAATAAATAAATAAATTTTATTTAATTTTAGACAAAAAATTTTAAATAATATATTTTATAAAAAAAGTAAACAATTTAAAATTAAATTAAAAAAATCTTAACCAAAGATAAAATTAAAAAGTTATATAAATCAATTGTACATTTTTAATTTTAATACATCTTTTTTAAATAATAACAAAATATTATTTTAAAATATAAAACTAAATATAATTTTATTTTATAAAAAAAAATTATAAGTTTAATGCTTTCATATCTAAAAAGCAAATTTAATTATTTTAAATATAAAAATAATTAAACTTGTAATTTTCTAAAATTTAAAAATATTATTTTATAAATATAATTTAATTTTTATCGAGTTTTTATTTTACTTTTTAAAAGATATTAATAGATTAACTTGTTATTATATTTCAAAATAATTAATTATTATCTTTTATTAAAAATATGTATGATCGTACTATAATCAATTAAAAATAAATATATTTTAAACCAAATATTTATTAATTTATTATCTATTATTCAAAAAAATAATAAAAATATTATTAAAATAAAATTAAAAATATAAACTATATGTGGACTCAATCAAAAATAATATTTTCTAAAAACCTGCTAATAAATATTAAATAAAAATAATATATAAAAGATTTAATATCTCCTTTAGTAGCAGCTATATTTGCGATTACTGCATGTAGTTTTATAAAATTATTTAATAAAAAAATATATAAAAATAAGAAAAATTAAATAAATTAAATATTGGAGGCTTACCTATTTTATCATAATTAATGGTTCCTTTATCAATAT